CGATCAACAAGAGGCTCGTGCTCTCGGAAGATATTTGCTTCAGTGTGCGATATCTCCTTATGAACGATCGGGAATTCGTCAGTGGCCCTATGGCGAGCGGTATTCTGACTAACGAAGAGTGCGTGCATATCGTCTCCAAGATACTGGGACATCCCGAAAGCTCAAAAAATGATAGCGTAAATATATATGTAGATATATATATGTGTATATGTGTGCTTAATCGGATGGTCATTATTTGCACTGATTATCTTTCGAAAACATTCTTGGAACGGATTAAAAAAATTAAATTAATCGACTATAAATAAAATTCGATAAATATAAATTTTATTAACTGTGATTTTATTTATTAAATGAGTTAAAATTTTATTTTAATTTCATTTATTCTTAATACCAATGAAGGAATTTTTTACAAATCTACAGCTTCGGAGTTCCACAGCTGTTCATCCGTCCAGGTTGTCCAGTACACCCAGGATCGGCATATATAAACGCGATGAAGACTGCAATATGTTGAGGCCGGGCAAAAAAGAACGACAGGATAACCGAAAAAACAGAAGAAAGGAATGTGCCAGTCAAGGGCAGAGAACATGCGCTCGGATTGGAAACTGCCTTATACAAATCCTAGCTTGCATGTTTGATTAAAAAATGCTCGTCCTTGATTAATCGTAAAACTTTCAAATCTCCCACCGAAAAAAATATTCTGTTATCTTTTTATATTACTTTGTCTTTTCGGTTGCAATCTCAGCTCGAGGAACCAAGATATAAGATAATGAAAATTAAAAGCGTCGCAGAAGTTCAAAACATGTTTGATAATCGTCTGAAAAACTATAAAGTGACATTTAGATACTTATTGGGTAATCGAATCCAATATCTATAGAAGATTGTCAGTATAACTGCATAATTAAAGTAAAGTTTACATATGTTACAAGTTTTTTGTGAAATCGGCTTTTCTACAAAAAAGCTTAGTCTTTTAAAGCGCCGATTTTTTTTAGACTCACGTTTTATTTTAAAAAACTAGGTTTTTTGTAAAAAGGTTGAATTTATAAAGAACCTGTAATATATATAAATTTCGGGAATTTATATTTTTATTTTAAGAACTTCAGAGCGCTGCTTCGCATAAAAAACATTTCATAGATTTTCTTATTAATGTAATTTTGTTGGATACAGAAAGAGGTAAGCGATTCCTATTATTACTGGAATTTTGTTAAGAATTAACTAGAAATATTAAAATCGTGCAAATCATGATACTTAGGCGATATTTTTAAAGCCGATAGAGACTGAGATATATCGAAAGAAACGTTTTATAATGTTTTTAGAGGCATATTTAGAGATCTCTGGCTAATTTTTATTAATAAGATTATAAGATACTATTTTAGAGAAAGAGAGTGAGAGATCGGATGTATATGCTGATTCGTTAAAATTTTCAAATTATGTAAAAATTTAGAATTGTTACGTATCACTTCCATTTTAATATTATAAAAATATTTTGTCGTTTACACGTGTTTTGTTACCTTAGGAAATATCAAATCTTCTCGCTTGCAGCTTTCGCATAAGATCTATAATTGCTATAGACGAAATCGCAAGAGATTTTTGCTTTTACAATTTATATATAAAATTCATTTTCCATAATATATATCTTATAAAAAAACGAAAGATTTCAAGCTTTTTATTCAGTGATCGAAAAGAAAAACTTATTTCTATAGATATAAATTATTAATGGTCCAAAACTAGAAAAATCTATCTTTTTTATAAACATCTTTCCTAAATACTTTTTGTAAATTTGGCATATACAAAAGTATGGGAGAAAATATTCAATTGGCGCCGCTGCAAACGCAAAAATCTGTTGAGTATAATCACGATGTCTTCGTTGTGTTCATAATTGTTATTCAGAGTATATGATCTTTAAATTATTTATAATGATGTGTATATAGAACCATGGCTGGTCCGTGAGAATAAGTGATGTATAAGAATATATAATATCTTGTAAATGGCGGATCAAGAGTCACCAAGTCTTTATCTATTTTGATATCCGCCATTAATTTTTGAAAATTTATTTTTCTTATTTATCGAGTATCTACATTTTTCTTGAAATATCCATATATCTATTTATTTTATTAAACAAAAATTGAGTATTTTAAATAAAAACAAAAACAAAAAGGTTTTTGAAAATTGGATGTATCACTAAATATATTATAAAAATGAGAAAGATTATTGTTTTATATTGATAAGGATTAGTAAATTTTTATAGCTGTATATAAGAGACATTGCGCATTCTCACGATATACGTATCGTTGCCATTTACGATTATATTTTTTAGTTGAGTTTTTTAACATATCTATAATGAATCTTGCGCTTTTATCGTACATGCTTCAATAGAGCTACAGACTGATCATACGATAATGCTTATATTTAAAACTTCTGTGATTGTTGAGAAAAAATAGGGAATCGATTGAAACAAAATAACTCGAACTGTTTTGAATATGTGTTCCATATTTATATTCTTATCTATATCAGATTTTGTCTATTTAAAATGCCGATATTTTTTTTATTTTTGTGAATCTAATAAAAGCGTCATTGTATATCTGATGCAAGCACAACTCCATAGTGAGAATAATAGTATAAAAAAATTATCAGCACTAGTCATACTGATTTGTTTTTCCAAATAATTTAGTTACCAAATATATTACTAATTCCTTGCACGTGTATTAGAAATGAATACGTTTAACAATGCAGACGAGAGAGCGTGAAATAGATAAAATAGTGAAACATAGATAGTAATCCGTGTTGTGTTGTAGTTATAAATTTATATTTAGTAAAAAGTATATCGCCTCAACAGTAAATTATTGAATGGAGCTCAAAAGAGCGCAATGTAAATAAAATATGTACATCAAAAATGCTGAGCATGGTCTTCTGCATTAATAAAACTGTTACTAATTAATTATTATTGTAAAATGTATTACAATAATTATGTAAATGTGATAGTTAACTTAAATAATATCTTAATACAGAATGTTCTCATATAATTTCTATTTAACATTTTTTCACAAATTCTCACTTTATCTTCTTATGTATGATTTTTTTATGTATAATATTTATCTATTTAGATGTTGCTAGATCCAGCAATTCGTCAGCCAGTTCTTCAAATCGATCTGCCTGTTCACAATGTGATAAAAGCAATCGACTGAACTTTTCATAGCCATATAAAGCACCTGTTATCGCGCCGGTCATACTAGCAATTGTGTCTGTATCGCCTCCCAAAGTAATCTATAAGATAGTAACAAAAATATAATATTAAAATATAATAAAAATGGCACTTTCAAATATTTCTCTGTGCAATGTCAATATAATTAATCTGCCATATGGTCTTATGAAATTTATAACTTACGGCATATTGAATTGCTCTTCTGACGGGATTATTAGTTCGTATTCTTTTTATGCGTTTTTGTGCCTTTAGAAAACAAAAGATCGCAGTAGGAACTGATTCTAAAGCTCTAACATTAGCACCCAGTTCTTTAACTATCCTTTGTTCATTAGGTTCACCTCCATTTTCGGAAAGCAGATTCTTTACTATTTTTAATCGTTCTTTATATGGCTGGCTATAATTTATGTACTGATTAAAATTTTTGTTTAAATATACAATCATATATATATATATATATATATTATACTGTGTATATTAATACTATACACATACCTTTCACCAACCTCAATTTTATCCATTTTGTTTATAAGGTTGTCAATAAAATTAGAAACGTTTAATTCTTCACTAGGATATAAGCACAGACTTTGTTGAATTGCTATAGCCTGTGATAACAACAAACTTTTATGTGACAGATATCTATTAATATAGATATATTAAATACAGGCATTTTTTTTTCTTTTTATTAGTACAGATCAATCTGCAGTTACTTGTAATATAGCACCATTTATCCCCAATTCATTTGCATGTGTAATTTGTGTCACTTCTCTCACATAATGTAAAAGATTATCATAATTGTTGTACGAAAATAATGATACAGGTGCAATTCTCATTGCACCGCCATTACCATAAGAACCTCGACCATCAAATATAGTCTTTGCTGGACCTTTCACATCTATTCCTGGCTCAATTTTTTTATTCTTTAATTTCCTTAGTTTCTTAAGTACCTATATATGCATAGATTTGTTAATTTAATTAATTTATTTATTAGTAATTTATTATTATTATAAACTGTAGTCATGAAAAAATTATAATTATAATTGCAGAAAGAGATACCTCTTATAATTATAAAAATATGTTATTTTATATACATATATATATATATATATATGTTTGAATATGCGCATCAGGAACAAATTTGAATGTATGATATAAATTTATATAATTAGCATGCATCGTTAATTACTTTAAAATAGAAACAGATGAAAACTATATAAATATATAATGACATATATATAAAAAATATATATAAAAACAATGTGCGAGGTTTATGCAGCGATGGTTCGCGCGAAATATGAATAAAAAAAATTCAAAAAATAAATCTCTAACCTCTAAACTTTGTTCCCTCCAATGTATCGAGTCTTTGTTGCAAGAAAATTTTCTTGCGAGCTGAGATGACTTTTTTGCCCTCGTATGGACTTCCTAGAATATCTCCGACTAAAACGCCCAGCATCGTACCGCGAAATTTACTTTTCAATAATTCCAAGTCCATCTTTGACACTACATATGTACGTAACATGTGGAAACCTAACTAAATCTGACTCAAAATATTTTATAGATGTGATCACATTCGATGCGCATGTGCGGAAAAGAAAGCTCATCTATACACTGACTATGCCATGACTGATATTGCTAGACATTTTCGCGCTAAAAAATAAATTAAAATATTAACATTATATTATAAAATTTTTTAAACATAAATCATAATATTTAAATTTACAAAATATCGTGGATTGAAAAGCTATTAGAAAAGATGTAGCTAACCGAGAATATTTTTCTAGAATGGTTGGCTTTTTATATATCCTATCAGATAGTAAAAAGCTTTCTATACTATATTATGTAATAAAGATCATCAGAAATGTTTCAATACTCTTTATTGTATTTCCAAAAATTTGTATATAATTTTTAAAAATAATGACAGAAGATCGAATGACATTCTTTTACTATACTCATTGTACAGTATTTAACTGAACAATTTCCCGGGACCGTCTTTGACGTGCATGCCCGGATAATTATGTATATGCTGTGTTTGATGTCATTTTAATCGCAAAAATCTTATTAATAAAATTCATTAAAATTATTTTCAAGCCGATAAAATACAAGTAAGAATCTTTCTTAAAATAAGAATTAAAGTGACAGAAATCTAAATTATAAATTATCGTTTTGTTGCAACCCTTACGAACAATAATTATTTTTCTATCGATACATAAAGTAAAAATATTTTGTCCCATGCTTTATCGTACGACTTTTTGATTATTTAAATATAATTTAAATTGAGAACGCGCAATTAAACAATCGAACCACAGGATCGAATAATTAACATAACGATAAGTTGTAATATATTAATCGTTTATTAAATAATTGATCTATGATTTAAAATATTTGTATAATTTAATATTCCGCTTGTATACATATACGTCATAGTACGCAAAATATTTTCGGCTGCGAATTATCAATAACATGATTCAGTCTTGGCGACGTAAACATTAGCGCGCTATTGTTTATGTGTTACGACTTACGGCTTTATCATTCGCACGGTGATAGTCGAACAGTAATATAGTAGTGCGAGACGCTCGTCAAATTACTTTTCTAAACGCGATCGCGACAATCGCGATATCGGGAAATAATTTGATATAATTAATAATTAATTTTCTCTCTTTCTTTTACTCTCTAGGTAACAATTATTAAAAAATACTTAAAATTAAATATATTTTGTCTGATATTTTTTCGTTCGACTTTTCGACAATCTAAATATGATTCGGATTGAGAATGCGCAATAGAATAGTCGAATCGCAGGTCCGAGTAATTAACATAATGATAAGCTCTGTGATATATATATATATCAAGTGCGGAAGTAATATTTTTTAATAAAAGTGCGGAAGTACCGTTTAAAATATCGCGCGTGTGAATCAACCTAAGAGGAGGAGGGGGCCTAGGAGAGGCATCGGGCACCAGTGAAACAACCCTGTGATAAGTAATTATTTGTATATTATTTATTTATTAATTACATACGTACAATTTAATTTAAACAATTAATCGCGTTATTTTTTTTTATTTATATGATTTAAACAAGAGAATTAGAGAAACAGATTTTTATATGAAAGCTATAATCGTGTAGAAGTTTCTACTTTTAGATTATAGCTTTTATATGGAAGATTTTTTATTTGATGTTGCTAAATATTTGAAGTGAATTTCTTTTAAATCTTGCTGTTATCGGGTTTAATTTGTCTCGAGCACATTTGGTACCCTAAACTTATTTGTACTCACATATTTAACCAAGCAATGATAAAAGCGCATGTATTTTATTTTTTTAAATATACTCGATTGTAACCATGTACACATAAAAATCATTATATCCAGTAGTTTTTTAATAAAAAGGGATATTTTTTAATAGTGGAAGAACATGTTTTTTTACGCGAATTTTTATCTCATATATTGAAGATGATGACGGCGGTAACAGTCGTTAATTCGCTGCCGAAATCACTGCTATCGGGAGCAATCAGAAAGATTTGGGATTTGTTCCTTCCTGTAGCGAGACTTTTGACGTTTAATGAATCATTTAACTTTCCTTTGTGGATCGATTCCATAGGGCCCGACATAGAAATAAGATAAGTTGTAGTCGCTTTCCACTTTTAGGATCGTTTTTCTCTCTGTCAGATATTAACCAGTGTGTTACTCGGCAGAGGAATCTTGATCTGTTCTAATCGTTAGGTCAGTTATCCTCCATTAAACGCGGTGATAACGCG